TTTATATTTCTGTCCTAAGTTGTTTCTTCCGTAAGTCAAGAAACACTTAGGAGCATTTATCTTGTATTATATTTTGATACCGTTTGATTTATTTTGATTTACTAAGCTATTCCTTCCGTAAGTCAAGGAATACTTAGATTATTGTACCTGTTTTGTTTTCTATCTTTGATCCGTTATTTCGTAACCGTTCCTTGGAACTGTTACCTATAACCGATACTTGTCACGGTAACTGTTACTTTATATTAGTAGCGATTATTAACCCTTTTGATAGCGACAAACAAAGATGGTCAACACCCGATCAAATTCCGGGGACAGGAAGTAGTCCGAAGAGCCGGCGATGGGTCCCACAGGCCCAAATGCCCCCTCTCGGCAACATCTGAATCGACCTTAACTGTTATATGTCTGTTACGAGAAACCTAATATAAAATGTAAGTATCATGATGGGGGCAGCAGTTGCACATTGTTGAGGTGGATGGTTTTGAAATTAAATTGCTCCTTGTTGAGGATGGTGTTACATTTTGTCAAGGTGAACAGAGTTCCGCTGATGTTTCTGTTGGAATATGATAATGTAGTTCTGAAACAAAAAAGTTTTGATTAGCTAAACATTAAGATTTTCATCCTGTATTATTACCTATGTACTGTTTTTTTTTTGAGAGATGGCGTGTTAGGCAGAACGGATAGTTCAGATTCCTCTTCCGATTCAGAAGAATATATTTTTCTGTTTTTCATTTTTCTTTTGCGCTTCTCAATATCTGTTGAACTGAGTTCACTTGTATCTTCAGCTTTCTTTGCTTTGGCCCTAACAATTTCATATTAATCTGAAAATAGTGTTATAATTTATTACCAAATTACAAAATTAACAATATCATTGCTCTCCTTACTAAAAGTCGAGTTCTTAAAAACTTGCACTTCGTGAGATGGTCAGTAAGGCTACGGCGGCAGTAAAGTAGTAAAATCATGGTTCCACGAGCGACAGTTTACAGCGCGCGTATCGCACGCATATTTACAGCGCGTTTTGGTCTTGTAGTAGCTCCATGAGCGTTAATATGTCGCAGCTACAATCAGTCGTATCTTGTCCGTGGTATAGTGTCCGTGTATATTGCACATAAAATAAATAAATAAATAAGTAAAATAAATTCAGACCGATAATACAATAACCTAGTATGGATAATCTATCATTTCAACAAAAAGTTGCTTTAATATCGCACGTTCCTAAGAAAACTGTAATAAGTAAAAATAACAAAATTTTTCAGAAAAGCAAAAACAATTTTTGTCATTTTTAAAATGCGAATAGATGAATCCGGAAGTGAATTTATATATTTTCAAATAGCATTAAAAAAGAGTAATTAAATTATTATTTCACAATCTACCTAAATCTTTTTATGAAACAAAACGGTTTTTGAGATAATGAGTAATTTAAAAAAAAATTGATATGTTACAGTTTTTTTCGAAAAATAGTTAAAATCTATATAAAAGAATTTAAAGATACAACATACTGGAATCATGATTTTTATTAGAAAATAGTTTTTGAACAGAACATAAACACTGTATAATCTGAAATTATCTCCTTCTAAATTTTTTCATGGATATTTTAACATAATGAATCATAGAATACTTGGTAATACTTAGGAATATACCCTTTTTTCATCAAAAACTGTAGGTCGTCTCTTTTTTTCTCAGCCAATTGTCGTTTCTAATTGTAAGCTTTTTTAATGTCGGCAACTGTGTTCGATTAGGTGAATTTTGAATGCGCTTAGCATTAGCACGCGGTCTTTTGAGAATATCGACTGCATTGAAATGTGTCTGAGAGAAAGAAGTTATATAAAAATACTTAGATGGTTCATTCTTTTTCACTCTAACAACTCTAATATTATTAATAGGTATCTGTTCTCTTTCTGCATCGATATTGAAATTTGGTCCTAGGTCATTCATCAACTGTTTAATGTTCATGAATTCTTCATACGTTAACTCTTTGACTCAATATGGCTCCCCTTTTTTCTTTCCATTTTTTATTATTTGAATAAACTGGTCTGGTACATAAATTGGTCCTGATTTTAGAGAACGTGTAACCTAAAAATGACAGTTTTCAGTTGATAACTGATCCGTATATAAATATTATCCATTTCATACCTTTTTTTCAATAAAGGAATGTGTGGAGTCTCCCTCATTTTGGGTGTGACCAACTATAAGAAACTTTTTTGTTGTAATGTGTAATTTTTCTAATCTGAAATTTCTGTACTGCATTAATGAGTGTTGCTATCAAAAATCTGAAATAAAGAAGAAGAAACGTTGAGAGAATTCCGTTGAATTAAATGTCTGTTTCTTACTTATTTTTTTTTTGTTGTGCTGCACAATTGTCGCTATACAAGACTATTTCCAAATTTGGAGAATTGATGGTTTTGATTGATGTGTCACCTTTTGGCAGCTGGAACACCGCTTGCCTATCAAAACATGCGACTAAAAATTTCTTGCTACACTTTTTTTTTGTCGCTTTCCTTTTCAGCTCTAGACAAGATTTTTCGTCTTGATGTTTTTGATATTCACGCTCTAGATTCATTTTTTCAGCTTCGCTGGGGTTATTAAATAAGAAGCAAAGGTTGCATTGATCCTTTTTCGGGACAAAGAAGGATATAGTAAATTCTGTGTTAAAAATGTCAGAATACATATGGTTGTTTCCAAAAGGTTTATTGGCTTCCTTACATTGGTTAACATAATCCCTATGTAAATCTGAAACACTTTTACCGCCTTCGATAAAATCTCTAGTAGTATGTGCCCTTAAGTAGTGGCTTTCAATTTTCGGAATTGACTGAATATGTTCTCGGATGTCATTTTTTATATTAGAATCTACTTGATGATGCTTGGCATGCTTTCCTCTTCTGTCTTCACTTCACTTCACTCGGGCTGCAGTGCGCTTTTTTATTACTGTATCAATTGTTCTATTATTTATATTTAAAGTTTTTTTAAAAAACAGTTCTCATACTCGGATTTTCTTTTGATTCACTTGGAAATAAAATGCATTATTCAGTCGCATTTGTTAGGATTTTGATACCTGGAGCTTGGTTGTATAGTTTCCATATTTCAATTAATAAATTCTTTTTTTTTTTTGTTAATATCACTCAAACTATAAAACTCATTAAAAATATGCATTATCTCTTCTTGTTCGATTTTCTCGCTACATTTGACTCTGCATTTATCAGTACATGCAGCTTGTACGTTTTCCGATGGTATAACCTTTTTGGAGTTTGAACATGACATATACTCTTTACCCATATTCCGCAACATCTTAGTTTTTATTTTTTCCACTGTTTCTTTACGAATCCTTTTTCTTGCCTTTTTTTCTTCAACGAAGTCAAGTGATAAAACTGAAATATATTCCGATGATCAGAGTAACCACTCGAAATATTACAGTCTTTCTCGAAAAACGCGAAATAAAAGTGTAAACTCTTCCAAACTAAACAGCAATAACTGCAAATATTACATTTTTCGCCGAACGTAAAGTAGAATATATTGGCAAATATTCCGATAATAAGAGTAGCAACACGAAATGTTACACTTTTACCGAGAGAACACAAAACTAAAGTTTACAACAGTTCTAAAATAGACAGTGATAACTACACTTATCACACTTTTGATCGGTAATACAGCGGAGTGCCGCAGTGCATACCACGATAAGTGCGTTTTATTACTGTTTTTATTACTGTTTTCATCGAAATATGCCGATGAACCTGTTCCGAAGAATAGTGATTTTTTCGCCATCTATGCAATAACTATTGAACTTAAATTATTACGGGTTTCTTCGGAGATAGAGCATTTGATGTATTATTCATTCCTGTAGAAAAGGGAACATAAAAAAAAATGTGATTTATTACACTTTTCTTCGGAACGTGCGATATTGGCATTGCGCCGTCGACGTATGGTTAAAAAACAACGGAAATGGTGGATTCACCCTGTTCTAGTGCCTAGACAGACAGGGGGAAAATTTGTTCTTTTACACAACAAATTAAAAGAATATCCTGACAAGTTTTTTGAATATTACAGTGTCTTCCTTTAATTTTTTATTACGTGAAATAGAAGATGTCATACGAAAACAGGATACATCAATGCGTGATAGCCTAAGACCAGAAGAAAAATTAGCAATTAACTTAAGGTAAGATTTTAAATTACATATTTTATAATCCTATACATGTATCTACCTAAAAATAAAAAAAAACAAAATATTTAACTATTTAACTTTCATTAGGATAAAAAGAATCTGGTAAAAAAAATCTGATTTGTTGCATTCCTTTATTTATGAATCAGGCCAAGTTATCGAAAACGAAAGATAGGGTAATAAAATTTTACTATAAACAATTATTACAATTTTATTTATATGATATGATTAGACAACCACTTATATAGAAATTAATCACCAGTTCGAAGAAAGAAATCCAAAAAATAGATTTTCGGGAAATCAATAAAAACTGTTTATTCTCTCTATTAAACTTTTTCTTTTTTAGTAATGGCATCTATTATAAAGTACAGATTGATAAGGTTCATTGGGATTGAAAAAAAAAACAACCATTGATTTTCGTTATCTAGAATACCGATAAAGAAAATGTTGGATTTATTTCTTTCTTAGAACTTATAATTTTTTGTTATGAATTAAGTCACAAAATTGTATGAAAAAACTTTAAAGAAATTTATAAAAACAAAGAAATAAAAAAAATCATTTTGTTTTTTTATTGTTATACTGTTTTTTTTAATTATTTGTTTTTTTTTTACCGAATATCAATTAAATATTAAAACTACACCCTAGAACTTATCTATTTTAACCCTCAAAACAAAAAATTAAACAAATATACAAAAATATCTATTAAATAATTATAAAAAATGTTTCGTTTTCGAAGGTTATTAATGGGTTAAGGAGAAACATTATATTTTACATATTCAGTATTTATTATGTTGACAAAAAAATTGTAGTAATTATGTATAAGTTCCATTACTTAAATTGTGAAATCTACCTTATCAAATTCTGTCATTTTCTTTACATAAGGCAATAACGAAAGGAGAAACATTTTATCTTTGTCCTGTGGTGCGACAGTTGGGTTTGATGATGCAGCTGCACTACTGCTATTTCTCAAAATTTCTAATAGCTGAGAATCGAAGTCGTCAGTTCTTTTGCGTTTTTTATGAGGTGTCTTTTTAATTACAATATTACCAATATCGTTCGTGGATGTGTCATCTTCAATTATAACCCGTTCTTCTTCTGTGTTTACATTCCCATCAACTTTAGCACTCTCATTGTTCATGGTTCCCGTTGTACGCCTGGACTTCATAGTTGTGCTTAAAAACTCCATTTGTTTTTCATAAATATATGGCCTTTTCTTGCTCGCCCCGTCGCCACTTTTTGTTTCGCGAGCTTTTAGTGCTCTTTGGTACGCATCCTTTAAGCTTTTCCAGCGTCTTTGAACCTCCTTTCCTGAAAATTGAAAGCTGTATAAACTATTTATGTTACAATATATTAGAATTCATTTGATTGTGTGCTTATATCCACACAATTATTATAAGAAGATAAAAAAATTGATAAAATCGCGTTTACTGGGTTTGTGTGACCAGTACAGAGTAGCGAATATAGTTAAGCTTTATTAGGACGTTTCGGGTGACAAACCTATTCTTAACTATAAATATAACAAACAACAAAACAGTTCAACATGTCAACCATTCCAACTTATTTAAAAAACTTAGTTGAGAATGAGTCTTACCCGAAAGGCCACAATAAAGCTTAGATGTACTCACTACGCTGAACCGGTCATACAAACCCAAGTAATGCTTTTAAGTGTTTATTTTATATTTTGGTTTTAGGTACTTAGGGACAGGATTTCCATCCGATCACTCTACTTTGAGTATCTAGTTGGTCGTATAACGATCAGACGCATTGTTAAAACCACCTGCCAAGCAATTTGGATAAAACTCCAACCACAGTTCATGCGTCCAAACGATGTTCATGAAAAAATAATGCGTCCAAACGATGTTCTAACCTGTTTTTAAGATTAAAATATTCTTGGGAGGCCTCTGTCGCATTTGTTTTATCACTTTCTACTTTTAGAATGGCTTCATGAAACAGCGACGCCACATAATGAACGAGCCACATCCACATCTCTGCAATGGGATCATTGAAAAATTGTCTCAATATTGTGGGACAATTTTCAGATGATAGAAAATAGGCTTTAAGAGGTTCAAACATTTGTAAAATCCGTTCAATTGCAGGGATCATGTTTAGAAATCGTGTTTTTGAAAATAATAACATTTTTTTGTATTCATAATTAACCGATTCACAAAATGACTTTAGTTTATGAACTCTAACAGTGTAAATATAGAAATACTTATAAATTTTTACTGTTATTACTTCGATATCAATTGGTAAAACATCAGTAGCACGTTGAATACAATTGTTGAATATGTGAGCAACACACCCAATACCGATTAAAGGTCTCCCGCAAGAATTATCCAACTTAGTGAATAAATTATTAGTTCCCTGTCTTTTCATTCCACCAAAATTAGTGTTTGTGTTATCTGCTGTTAGTCCAACAATCTTATTAACAATATGATATTTTTGTAAAATATTTAATACGTAATCATGTAATTGATCGGATGTCTCACCTGGTAAATCCACTAACTGTAATAATTTTGTTTGAATGCCGGTTTTGCTGTCAAAGTATGTTACTAGTAAAGGTACTAGTTTTGTATCCTTGTGATTTGAAGAATGAAGAATGATGCTAAGAAAATTAGCTTTCTGCATATCAACTTCCAGACGTAACTGCGATTCTCTGGCCAAAATATTTTTCACGATGGCTTCACTTTTAGTTCTAGCAGAACAAAATTTAGACTCAAATAAATTGGAAATCAATTTGGAAGTACAATCTAATGATCTAAAACTGTGCATATGCCTAATGGTGTGGTATGCAAATGTCCCTTCTTTGGCTGCAATTATCAAGTTCTCGGAGCTGACACTTGCGTATTTAAAAAATGAAGGTAATTTATTGCTTCTAATCTCTGCATTAGCTGCCAATGTGTGTTGATGATTAGATGCCGATGACACAGATTTGACTTTCATAAAAGGGTAATCCTTCTGTAGTTCTGCATTAAAATGACATTTTCGTCGAGGCGGAGACATAATTCTAAATTCTAAAACGTTTTACAAACAAACACTAATAACAGTACAGTAATACAATACGTAACACTTCAACGCTCAACGGTTAAACACGATGACGATGAACGACCAAATGGACCAATGGACCAAACCATAACTATTCGCTATTCGGGGACGGTCGAAGCCGAAGGTTATTATCTGAATGCTTGTTCAGATGCAACGTTGCACATTGGGCCAAAATTTAAGTAAAAGTGCCAAAGAGAATTAACTGAGGAGAGAGTCTAAGATAATTGTTTAAAAATTGTAAAAAATAAACATATTCCTTCTTTTAGAAAAAATAAGTACATTCGCGTGTCCTTAGAAAGGGTTTAAACTACATTAGGACAATATTTAAAAAAAAGTACTGTCCTACTTAAATAAGTACATATGGTCACCGTATATATAATATATATTTATTTATGGCAATGCGGTTTAGAATGGGTATTAATTAAAACAAATGAGGAAATAAGACAGTAAATGTTGCAGTGAACCCAATTCTACTTTTCAAAAACAATACAAGGTCTTTTTAATTTTTTTTCAAAATTGTTTAATAAGACTAACCGGCAAAGCCCAAAATGGGAGTTATTTGTAATCCAGTGATGATTTTCAACATTACAGTTATACTGTTTAATATAAATAAGCTGTGTATAATGCAGATAACCTTAGCTGTAAGTTAGAATATTTACTTACCTATTTTTCTTTTAGCTTCAACCTCTAAGTCGTCCCATCCGTTTCCATAGAGTCTTTGGCATACATTTGTCCATGCATTTAATTTTTTAACTCTGTTTTTGTAGTCCTCTGATTTAAAATCATATAAAGTCATGTCTTTGTACTTCTATTATTAATAGTTCACTATCAAACTCAAAAAATGTTTCCATTACGAATATTATAATACAACTTAACAAACACAGAGAAATAAACAAACAAGAACAAAAATATCCGATTAAATGGCAATTACCGCTACAAGCGACAAATTACTGTTAGTGGAGTCACAAACCTGCTGCAAATTACTGCTAAAAAATAGGTCCGGATCTATTCGAACGCGACACGACCTTGACGACGCGTTTCGGTCTCGAAACGAAGCGACAATCTACAGCGCGTGGAGCCACTCAGTATCACTGCTGTTGTTTTCATTTATTAAGCTACATTTTACTGCAACTGCTAGCGACAATCTGTCGCTCGTGGAGCCGTAGCTTAAGTGTCAATTTTTTGGTTTTTTATTGCTAAATTAAGTTTTTCAGTGATGAATGTGGGCCAAAGACAGTTATCTTCAAATATCCATTTTGTAGGCACAGCGCCCACTGAAGCCTCCACAAATTTTACCACAGTTCATGTCTCTTTGTCAGCCATATTCAATATCTTTTAGAAAGATTACTGTAATGATTTTTTTTACAGACAAAAAATTGAAATAATAAATAAATTAATTATAAATAATCATTTTTACTTTACCTCAAACACCGGTCTAAGTTAAGGAGGTTCTCTCAAAGAAATACATTTTTAGAACCGTTTAAATAGTGAATGTATATAAAATTTAGCACACTGTACAGTTACATAATTTTTAAAATATTATAAAACTCATAGCTGTTCGTTGAGGGGATTTACAAAATATGGTTTATCTTATATAATATCTGTTTTTCTTACAACATCTTGTATTAACGACACTGATATACAAAGTGTCTTACAAAAAATTTACATACCTGTATATCTTGACCATTCAAAGAAAAGTAACACTTTTGGAACATGCACGTGGTTTTGATAAACTTCGACGAACTGCAACGACTCTGTGGTGGCTCCGTTTTAATACGTGCAATAAAAAAAATCTAGCCTATATATTCTAACTTCCAATAATCACGACATATTCTTTGTCTGTACGTGTACGTGTTTGGAATAGGTACAGTTCCAACCTATTACCGAAAAATGCTATTCTGTACCATCCTTAATCTCGATCCTGTGGTGAAGGCTGTCTTTTCTTTATCTACCGAGTCCATTTCTACCTGCCAGTATCTAGACTTGAAATCCAAAGTAGAAAACAATTTACTTCTAGCCAATGTGTCGTCGATCCGAGGGAGAGGATAACTATCTTTCTTGGTAACGTTGTTCAGCAAACGGTAATCCACACAGAACCTCGTCGTTCCGTCTTTCTTCTTAACCAATCGTTTCAGCTTCCTCTCTTTTCGCCTGTGGTAATCGTCGAACTGTTTAACGAATTGGCTTAGCATTACCAGTATCAAATGTATGCTTAACAACGGTAGTTCTTCCCGTCTTTCCTCCTTTCGGTACGAAAATATCACGATACTGCCGAAGAAATTCTCTTAATTTCCTTTTCTCAATCTGATTCAGAGACTGTCCAGCAACTGCAACCATTTGGTCGAATTTGTCGTTGGACTTATCAGATGTCGTCTGACGGATTATAGATGTCACAGGTACACAAGTTCCTACTTTTGTCTCTTTATTGATGGTTACTGGATAGATTGGATGGTTACTGGATGGACATTGATAAGTCTCACAGGTATTTCTTTAGCCGAAGTCACCAATTCCTTTCCAATTATGATTCCTCGGCCAACCTTGTCGACATGGTTCCAAGGCTCCATCATTCTTCCACAATCCAACAGGTGTCCATTCTTCCACAATTCCCTGTTGTCGCGCTACTATGATCGGTTCACTTTTCGCAGGCACGACTGTATCTCCTTTAACCAACTTTGATTACCTTATTCTTAAAATCCAATTGGAATCCATGCGTATTCATTACGTCCATTCCTGATATAACATCCTCTTCGATGTCGGCAACTATAACAGTATGGATGAACTTTTCTGCTCCAATTCCTAATTGTATCTGGATTTCTCCATGAATGTTGGCATTTTCACACGTAGCGGTCCGAAGTCGCAACCTCGTTGGTAACAGTTTCTTACGACTGTTTATAACTGTCGGGCGTATAATGGTTCTGGTCGCTCATGTATTCACCACCAACGTATGCTTTTTACCATTTATTTCTTCATCTACATATACACTATCTTCACGACATTTCAAAGAACCTATTAGAATGAGAGGGTCTTTGGAAAAGTTCCGGGTTGAAACTGCTCCCCTAAGGCCGACCCGTTCTAGTTTTGTCTTCGGTCTTATGGTCTTCCTCTTTTACAGTCCTAACTTTACTGTGACTCGTATTCGAGGGCGGCGGATAAGAGATCAACCAGCGTCTTGTGACGAGCTAATCGTAGTGTTCTCTGCATTTCATGATCACGAAGACCATCAATAAACGTTTGAACGGCCAACTTTTCCATCATGTCTTCGGGAGCTGTTGGACAAGCATATCGTACTAATTTGGCAATATCTACCTCATATTCTTGAAGAGCCTCATCTTTCTTTTGTCTTCGATTTTTAAGCTGCGACTGATATACATGCTCCAAGTGTTCGTGGCTATATCGCATATTTAACCTCTTCTTAAGTTGTTCTAAATCATCCGTCTCCTCTACGGCTATGGTCTGGAGCACATCTAAGGCATCTCCTCGAAGAGCGATAGTCAGGTTTAAAGCCTTTTCTTTTTCAGACCATCCATTCGCTCTTGCAGCTGATTCGAACTGTTTCATGTAGTTGTTCCATGACGATTTTCCGTCGAAAGTTGGGACTTTGGACATGAACAGAACCTCCACTTCCTTCAAATTTCGGTCGTGTTTCCAATTTACATTTCGTCTCGTCTTCTTTTGTCTCTACGGTAATTGGATTGTTTACTATCTCTGCTATTCCTATTCCCTCAATCTTTCTTTCCATCTCTTTCCATATCTTTTCTTCTAAGGCCAACATGTCGGCAGCAACTTGTTTTTTTTTAACGCAGACACTCTATCGTCGAGGGCAGACATCTCAGAAGTGACTTTAGAGATGTTAGCAGAAACTTTGTTTCCAGAGAAGAAATCTCATTAGAAACTTTGCTTTCTAAAGAAGCGATGTCGCCGGAAACTTTCGAGATATCGCCAGAAACTTTACTCTCTAATGATGCGATGTCACCAGAAACTTTGTTCTCCAATGATACGATGTCACCAGAAACTTTGGCTACATCAGAAGAAACTTTCGAAATCGACGAGATGACCAGCAACATGCTTGTCTTCAAATATATAAGTCTCCGGATCCAAACCTTCTTCTTTTAAAGCGTTCTTTAGTCGTTGGACTACACAGTCTGTTTTCCGGTAGAAGCTAATTCTCTGTCCTCGAGATGTCTTATTAAATCCGTAACTGCGAGCTCGTAAATCGTCCTCATTTTCACAATTTTATTTAAAATTCACTTCTGAACACCAATGTTAAGTCTTTATTAACTCTAATTTATTGTTTTTATTATTTATCAAAGGTTCTATATTTATTACACTAACAACTTTATTTGAAGTTTATTTATACTAATTTATCTTACAATAATAATTTATTTATACGAGCGTTACATTTAAAACGCGGCGCGCTACTTCTTACTGGATGTTCTCTACAAAAAGGTTTCTATTTATATCGTTGGTGTTTGTGCAAAGGGGTATAAGTCAATAAATTGAAGTCTTGAGAAAAATGGAGATTAAGATAGCGGTTCTTTTTAAACTTTAGTGGATTAATTCTGTGGAGGGCGGTACAATAGACACAAGTCCAAAATGTAACTTTTACAGGAGAAACCTTTAAAGTTTATTTATTTTTTCCTAAATCGATTTTTTTGTCTATAATCTTTAAATGATGCGGATTGTTATTAATTTATGTATGTTTGTGAAACTCTAGTATGTAACCTAGATAAATTTTAATATTTTAGACATTTTTGCGACTTTTCTACCGGTCAAAGTTGTATTGTATAGCTTCGTAATAAAGCACTAAGTCAAGAAATACACATTTATTAAAAACCATTTAGAAGCAAAACATAAAAATTTGAAATTTATAGGTACTTACATATAGTTGAAATAAGTAGATAAACTAAATTATAAAACTAAAACACACACGCACATGTCACTAAAGTTCATCTGTTTCATCTTGAAGATCAGGGTCTTCATCTGCAATATTGTCACATGTCAATATATTATTATAAAATTCGTGGAAAATAGGCGGTATCAAATTAATAATTGAAATTAAATCTCTCTTTTTCTCTTTAGATATACGTAGTGGTGAATCATATTTGTGAGATACAGAGAGAGTTGAAAATTTTCCACGGCGTCTAAAGTTGATCATATCAAAGGTATCATCAGTCAGGTTTTTCTTATATTTGATTTTCCTTGGCTCGTTAACATTATATTGCAACCACTTCACATCATGCCACTTGAATGCCAAACCATTTTCATTTTTTTTTCTTCAAAACTAGCTGGTCATTGAAGAGTTTGGAAAAGTCAAAAAAGGTTTCTTGCTTCATTTCACACACCTCAAATTTGTCCTTTCTCCCCGTAGATCGAACAAGCTGAAACCAGTCATGTGGACGAGAACGTTACTATAACATTCCGTAAACATTTTTTAAATAAATTTTAAAATCTCAATCCTCTTAATGATTTTCTGAATCTTAAAAATTTAAGTTGGTATGAAACAGCGACACCAAGCGTCCAAGTTTGAAATCATAGTTTAGCTGGCTCAAATTGAGTACCCGAAGCGCACTTCTGTTTGAACTTTGGTAGCAGAAACTTGAGTCCAAGGTAGGGGCCATACGTGGCATGGCTTTTGGAATTTAAGAGTTTTTTTTTATGAAGAAGTAATAGGAAGTTTTAGTTTGGGGTTTTTTTTGTTTGGAGTGTCCTGTTTGGTTTATAGCCACTGTGAGCCGTAAGTATCCAAGTTATAAATAAAACGAAAATAAAAAAAAGTCATCAGCCATTTTAAGATCC